CAAGTACCTAAACTTAGTCACGTTTGCACAGTCCTTTTTTCCAGGAAAGGCGAGATATTCACAGGGTAGGACTCGGACATCTTTGGAGAGGCCACTGTTCTGCCTACCACAATCTACTCACCTTCTGCTGATTGAGTTTTTAACCATGTGCATTGCACTTTTGCTTTCTTTCACATAGCTGATAGGTGGTGAACCAGGATTTGAACCCAGGCAGTCTGGCTCTCAAGCCTGTACTCGTAGACCCCTGCGGTATATCTGCTTTTGTAACCTGCTTTTACTCTTAATATATTTTGAATATTTTCCCATGACCATAACCAGTCTTCTAAATTTGAGAGTGTGAAACAAGATTTGTAATGGCTAAATAATACTCCATCATCTGCATCAGCCATAACTAATTTAACCATTAGTATAATTTAAAAAATAAATACGACAGTGAAAGTTCACGTATGTAAGCTTGTGCCCATACTTAGTTATTAGCGGAACTTGTGCCAAAAGTGGCTTAGGAGCTGGTTAACTAGTGTACATCCTAGAACCGTCTTTGCCAAACTGTTTTCCTTGAGCCATTAATAAGGATTCCACGAGGCGGGGTTTCTCTGGTTAAATAAATTTGGGAAATGCTGTACTCCCATTCCTGCATTAGAGATTCAGTCACATTAGCACTAAAACCAGAAGTCCTCTGGTAAAGAAATTTCTCTGTCTCCCTCAGTTTCTCTCTTTAACCCAGTGTTTCCCAAGCTTATTTGACCAATGCCTTTTTCTGTTTTTGTTGTTGTTTGCAGCATCGAGTAATATCTTACGAAGCTATGGTAGTAGGACACAATTTTGGAAACACAGCCTTGGAATGAACCTAGCCAAGTGAAGCTTCTCACCCTCAAATGCCTTCTAAAGCTGAAGTCTAAAATTACTATAGATGGAATAGTTGGGACAAAATTATGTCTGTGAAATAAACTCAAAAATGTTTCCTATCCTCCACTCAGAATTCCACTCTAACCTTGTTCTGTTGGTTCCTTACGTCCGCTGTAGCGGTCACATTGCACGTGTTCCCTGCTCTGTAAATGTCAGGACTGGCCTTCAGCCAAGGCCAGCACAGGTGTGCCCCGAGGTCTGCATGGCACTGTCTGTACATGTTTCCCATGGTGGTGACTAGGGCCTTTCCAGAGGGTTCTGTCCAGGTGAGAAACGGGGTAGAAGGATGTCGTCACTGAAAATGGAGGCTACTTTTGGGGATTATTAGCAATGGAATCAGTCACCAGGGGAATAAACCACTGTGAGAGCAAGGTCTGGTGGGATAGGCAGGGACAGAACTTGGGAAGTGCTGGGTGAGGTGCACACCTGAGCAATGAAACATGGGCGCCAAAGGTAACCATCGCTGTTTAGGGACTCTAACATGGTATGCCCTCCAGGCCTTCAAGGGGCCGTTTGGGGCCACAGACAAGGATGTGATCGACCTCCCAGGCCTGCGGTGCAGACCATTGGCATCACATTCGTGTAATGATCTCCAAGCCCCAAGCCGATGGTGTCTGCACCATCAGAGAGCATCAGAAATTTGTTCACTATCCTAATCGAGAGGACCATTGGCAGCAAACTCAGGACCTCTGAGGAAGATGTCAGGTGTGGAACGGTTCCCTCTCCAGCTTTTTAGCAGTCTGTGTGATTCCTACAATGGCATACAGAATGCTAGTGTGTAATTTGAACCACACTGGGGAGGAGGATGGTCAGATTACAGCCTTTCTTTCCTGTTACTCATGTGACCTCTAGTGGCTATAACCAGTAAAACCTTGTCCTGGGGATGGAATAATAAGAAATAAGCAGGAAATGTCATTAATGTTTAATTGGTAACTTTCTACAGTAGCCCTTCCCTCTCTTTACAACTCTCTTTCACCATACACCCCATCATATAATTTAGCCGTAATCAGCACTGGGTTTGGGTTCCAGACTAGCTCTGACTGTTCCGATCTAATGTAACTTGGGCTGGAGTTAGCATCTGAGCTTCCGTAGTCCAAGCCATTTCCAGGCATCCACCCTAACTACATCGCAATTGTAGTTGTTGTGAGGATTGGATAACATGAGGGCTACAGATGAAGCGCTGTATAAATCTCCCTATTACTTCACAGCCACTGAGTCTGTGATTCTGTAGAACTAGAATGTTTTATTTCATATGCTTTGGTGAAGTCATGTAAACTCTTTGTTCCAATCCACAAGCATTTGCTAAGTGGCTGTTACGTGTACTTCAGATGTACTTAGTGATTTACTCAACAAGCGTGAGCTCCTACCTTGTGCCCTATACCACAGTTACTGCTGGGATCCATCAGCAGAGACCAGGACAGACAAGGTTCTACTCTAGTAGAGTTAACATTCAAATGAATTAAGGGGATTCGTAGACGGTTGAAATGGCCTGTGTCCTCAGGTGACTTTAAAGTTTAATTGAGAAGACAGAAGCTTCAGTAACTAGATAGGGTACAAGTCAGTAAGTGAAAATGACCTTCACAGAAGTGTAAACAGAGTGCTATGAGGCAGAGATCCCACTGTGCTGTGTTTGAAAGGGAGAAGCTAGGAGTGAATATAGACTGTGCTTTCTAGATGTTTAATGATGGAAGAATGGCTCCTGGGAGATGATCTGAACATGTGAGAGGTCAACTAGAAAATCATGAAAATCGATCTGGCAATTTGGTATCTATTTCTGGTCCCAAGAGAGTTGCAAAAATTGTATGCAGAATACCCACGAAACTCTTCATTTTCCCCCTGTAGTCATATTATTCTTTGAGATTCCAATGAAGTAGTAACTAGATGTATTGGACGCTTCTGTTCTAAATATTAACTTAGTCCTTATAACAACTCTATGAGGGTAGGTATTTCTATCATGATATCCATTTTACAGATGAGCAAACTGAGATGTGAAAAGCAGTAACTTACCCAAAGTTATTTGGCTGCTAAGCAGTAGATTCGAACCCAGCCTGGCTGGCTGCAGAGCTTGCCTGCTCACCACTGTGCTGTATTGTTTCTCAAGCCTTCAATAACAAGGTCACTTGGAATTTTTAGAGATATGTACAACGTATGTAGGGGTGAAATGTCCTCAGATCTGGGATTACTTTAAAGCAATCCAACAAGTTGAAGGAAAGGAAAGAAAGAAAGGAAGGAAGGAACAAGTATGGTAACATCTTGATAAATGTTTACTTTCCGTGATGTTTATAATGCTTATAGGGGTCGTGATAGCATCCCCTAATTTCCGTAATAAAAATTAGAAACCATTTCTAGTGGCTTTGGAGATTTTGAAATATTTATTATCTTAATGTTAATATGAAAAGACTTTTTAATTATCTGGGTAATTCAGACCAAAGCAATGAGTTTCACTGAATTATTAATGTAATGAGGCTGTGGAATGGAGTGCCCTCTTCTGTATATTAAGATCTACTTTCTACCTAATCCCCAAATGTGATGGCCATATGCTCCTGTGTTTGGGTTTTTTTTTTTTTTTAAATCGATAAGTGTTGATCTTGCCAAATGTACTTGATAGAATAAAATGCTTTAGTTAGAAGAGACCACAAAGACAACTAATTCCAAAGTTCTCATTTTACAGCTATGGGAGTTAAAGCTTGCAGAATTTAAGTGATCAGCCCAAGATTAAATTGGGAGCCTTAAATGATTATCTGTAGTCAAACACATAGCCAGTTAATGGAAAAGCAGGAATTAAAAACCTGGATTTCCTGAACTCCAGGCCTTTCCAGCTCCTATCAGGAGGGCTCAGTAAAGGGCTAAAGCAGCCCACACAGAGACATTGACTCCAGGCTTCCGCTGCGACTCCTGCTATATCAGGTGTTGCCAAGTTAGTATTCTGGGATGTAAAATGAAGGAAGGTGAGTCACCTTTAGCTTGGGACTAGAAGAGGTCAAATGGGTCTTTAATTTTCCAAGTGGGGCCATTCCAGTCCAAAAGTTTGGAAACTGCCAAGGTCTTCATTTATTTTGTGTGTTTTCTCCACATACCTTGTTCACAGATTCCAGCTGTGTCACTCACAAAGGGCATAGTTGGAAAAATCATAACCGCTGCACCTGAAGATACTGCTCAGAAGTGCATTTGTTGCTCTGTGGCAATAAAACCCACCCCTCAGCAAGCCAGAAAGCAGAGCCAGGCATTTCCCAACAGGGAGGGATGCAGGTGGTCTTGGTGTAGTGCCCAGGGCCACTATACCACTGGTTAACTAACCATTGACCTCGTCTCTTCATCCTGAGAATTCTGGAGGGCATTTCGGGAGCTCAAATCACACCATTCCCAAGTCTGGTACACACCTTTCCTAGTGTCTTTGTTGGTGTTTGTTCCTCAAGGTCTGGTGGGGGCGATTCTCAAACCCAAATGCTTTCAGGATCCCAGCAGGTAAGGTAAATGAATGAAGCTGGCCAATGCAAGAATTGGGTGATCCGGGAAGAGCAAGTCTTGTTCTCATTCGCAGGTTTTACAACACAGTGCTAGCCACACAAAAATCCTGGGCCTGTCAGTGGAGAACTGGCTACCTCTGATAGAGAGGATAGAACCTGGTGAGGAAACCAGGGGACCCAGGTGCCATCACTGGCTCCTAAGTGACGTCAACACAGCTTTCCCTTTGCAGAGCCTCAGGTTTCCTCATCTGTAAGAAGTGGGTCTCTAAGGCTTCAAGGTGTGCCACCTCTGACAGTCTCAATTCTATGATCGGTGATAGAATACATGTCTCAAAAACAACTGGAGGCACTGTCTGTCTGTCTGTCTGACAAAGTACCTGCATGGCCAGTTTGATCTAACTGACTTTTTGGAACTGCCGTTTTTGAGGTCTTTGTTGGATGGGTTTGTGCATTAACCTTGAGTGCTTTGATCCCTGTAATAAAATGGCCTGCACTTAACAACCAGTCTGGTACCACTCTCTGTTAGAGATTGCCTTTTTTTTTTTTTTTTTGCTAGTTTTCTCTCCTTACTGAAAGCAGTCATGAGCAGACAAGCTTAGAAAGGGTGTTCTCTTCGTGTTGTTTCAGGGAAAATAGAGAAAGTCAAACCTCCTCCATCCCCTACCACTGAAGGCCCAAGCTTGCAGCCTGACTTAGCCCCCGAAGAGGCTGCCGGAACCCAGCGGCCCAAGAATCTGATGCAGACCCTCATGGAAGACTATGAGACACACAAATCTAAAAGGCGCGAGAGAATGGATGATAGTAGTGTAAGTTGTTCCTCCTTTCCTCTTTCATTTCTCCGAGGGCGACTGTCGGCGTGGTGTATGGTATTCCAGTTCAGGCACAGATGTGTATGTGGTTGTCTGGTCAGCGTCATGGTTCCAAAATCAATTTCCAAATGTGTGGTTTAAAATGCCTAGAGTTGGGTTTGGGTTTTGGCCTCGCTTCCCAAAGATGTTGATCATGTGATCATGCAAGGAGCTGGGCCTTTTGCTGACAAGTAGAGTTGGAGCCCTCTGGCAAGGCTAGACCACGAGATACTTGGTGTGTAAAAAGACAACATGCAAGGGCAACACGGGGAAGAGGGATGTGAGCACTCCGAAATCACCGCAGGCACCGGGGAGCTGATTTCTACCGTTGCTTGGCCTGCTCTATAGAGATTTATTTTTCTAGAGTGCTATGAAGATGCTGTTCCTTCAGTGTCAACCCAGTGGGCAATCCCTATAGATGTCACACAGCGCTCAAAGACTAAATGTGTTTTGGGCTGTTACCAAGCCCATGTGCATAGTTTGGCAGGAAAGAGCATCTAGAATGACAGTTAAAAACCACATGGCTACCCTGCTACCCCTAAGCCTTATAACTTTGCACTTGACATTCACGTTAACTGTGAAGGAAGTCATCTGCTGTGTGGCTTCTTTCTCCAGTAAGAGACTTAGGAGCTATTGTTCCAGACAGCCCTGGGATCAGCCTCCGATTTTCATGCCAACCTCCTAGGAGTCTTCTTGCATCAGTCTCTTAGCATGTATTGAGGTAATCACCCCTCTCCCCAATTGCTCTTAAGTCACAGATAACTTGGGTTGGTTAACGATACTACCCCATTTACCTGGGACAGTCCTGGTTTATGCCTGATAGATACCCTGACATCATTATTAATAGCATCCCTTTTCACTCTTAAGTGTCCCAGTTTGGGTGATAAACTATCTGGTCACCTTAAACTTGAATGCTATTGGGTTCACAATAGGAACTCTTTGCTGATTCACTGCCTTTTATGTCCTGGCTGTGGATTTCTGGAGTTGAAGCCAGATACCAAAAGTTGCTTTCAAAATATGTAGCAGTAAAGAAAAGAAGAAAGCAAACACATGTAGTAGTCTGACTACTCACTTGGCAGCTCCCAGGCTTTGCCTTGTGTTTACGCCTGAACTGCATGGATCACTGGCTCAGCTACTCTATCGGGCTGGAGCTACTCTACTGGGCTGCTCTCCGTATTACCCAGTGTGATGAGACCTGCCCTTCGGTGGCCGTGGACATTTCCACTGCTGGGCTTCACTGTGGAGGTGCCAGAAGCTCTTTCCCTGAGGCTATAGGACTTTTGCTGCCCCCTAAGTCACTTTAGCCAGCCCTTCTTTGCAGCCCCATGTAGAAGTATGGAGTTCACCTTTAGGAATTTTCTGGAGCCTGTGTCCATTTTGAAGCTTAGCGCTCTAAGCACCTTATTTCTTTTCTCCCAATGATTCCACACTGCACATCAGCCGCTTTGGTAAATCCAGCCGGGTAGACTCCTCACACTCTGGTGTGGATGGTGAAGAACCACTTAGCATGTGACCCACGTGCGTGTTTGCTGAGCACACTCTACTTGTCACTTGTGTATGACTTTTGTGTTGGAGTGATGTTAGAGAAAAATACTCCCGACAGAAGGGAAGGGCCAGCTGTCACTCATTTTATACCAGCAGAGGGCTGGGAGCCTCCTTTGTGTACACCCTGACACTCAGGCAGCCTCCTAACAAAAGCTGACCAGATGGGATTTTCCCCTTGCCTTCATGCAGCTATGCGGAATTGGTGTTTTAGTACGCTGATTGCCCTTCACTTGTGAATTGAAGAGGCAGCCTCCTGTCCCTCTATTTCCCAAGTAAATAAACATTTCAAATAAAGAAAAAAACCTACTATCTAATCCAGCTGTGAATATCCCTGGATCTTGGATTCACGGCCACGTGTTTTGTGCTGTTATTGATATTACAATTGAACCAAATTTGTTGTTGTTGAAAATTCTCAGGACTAGGACAAAATCTGCCAAACCCACCATATCTTCTTTTAAGAGAACCAAATCTAAAATAACGTACTCACATCGCTTCTGAAGCAAATACATGACCATCAGCCAGACTTCACGTGAGAGCCCATCTCCTAGCCCTTCTGACTCAGGGGCTCTTTCCTACCATGTCTGTGTTGATCACTGGTGAATATGTTGAAGTTTACCTGTAGGGATGAACAAACCATCATTTTTTTCCTAGCTGATCTATGGCCCCTTCTCCATTTTTTTGTTTAATTATCTCCTATACCAGAAGGACAATAATAGAGAGCGGATGGATTGCTTGGTGGTGGGGTTGTGTAACTGGCTTACCTAGCCCTAGAAGCTAAAGGTAATTCTGTTAAAGGTAAAGTAATTCTGGTCTCCGGTTTCCATTCGTATATACTATTCTCAGGGCAAAATGTGGCTTCTTAGACTCTCCATCCTCTAGAAGCCTCAGTGGCTCACACTGGCACACTCAACGTCACCCAGTGTCACGCAGCATCGCCCCCGGCACCTTCACCTGCCAATATTTCTTCCAGTAGGGCCCTTGGCAGCATTTTGGTGTGCCTTCCAGAGATGATAAACCACACCTGGGAATCGGAGTGCCACACACATGATCAGAACCCAAGCATGTGTTGGCCCATATGAAGTAGCAAGTTCTTTGTGAATTGAATGGAAAGAATTCTTATTTGCTTTGCTTCCTAAAAACAAAACAGGCTGATAATCGGGATGCGTACGTAGCATGTCTGTCATTTTTTAGACACAATGATATTGGGAAGTGTGAAAGACAGGAGAACGAGAAGGCTAGAGAGCCCCAGGGAAGCTCTGCCTGAGGTTGTGCTGAGTGACTTTTGCCAACAGAACTGAGAAAAAGTGATCCCTGCTCTCAAAACAGGTGCAGTGTCCCCCGGCCCCTGTCAGAGCAGTGATGGTCTCTGGAGTCCCGTCCACCAGCCCAGGGCCCTCCTCGCTTCGATTTTCCCACTTCATAAAAAATCCCATGCAGGACAGGCAGGAGGCCCCTGGCTCACGGAATCCCTGCACAAGAGTGGTATGATGGAAATCGTGTGGCATCTGGTGGCCCTTCTTTCTCATGCACCTGAGCTGTCATTCTCCCTGCTGGAAATGAGGGGACAGTCTGGGGGCTCCATGAATGACAGAAGATGGAAAGTTTAATCCTGAACTGTCTTGGAACATCTACCCAGGAGTCACTGTTTCAGTGATAAGAAGTCATCTGTGGATGCTCTGGTCAGTTGGCAACTGGTAAAAAATCAATGACAAGGAATGTGAAAAAGCCCCTTTTCTCAAAAAGTTAACCCCAACCAGCCATGTTTGTTACTAGCTCAGAACTTGAGCAAAGTGCTCCCTTCAGGAGTCGCAGTCTTCCACGGGGCTGGCTTCCTTGTTCTGCGTGGCATAGTCACCGATGAGTGTCTCTGGCCCCTCTTATTAACAACCCCTTGGCTAATGTTTCAGGAAGGATGATTGCCATCCCCACCTCCACCCCCTTAACCAGGGCTATTTAGCAGCCTAGACAAGGCCTCCGTGTGAATTAGAAAAAGCCACCCCTTTTCAAAACTCTGTGAAGATGCAGCCCTGCCCCAACCCCACAGTTTGAGGGGTGGAGTTGGGGGGACTGGGCTTCAGCACCGTTCATACTTTTAGCCTGGAGCTTTTGTGCAGTGCGTATAATTCTACTCGTATTGTGGGTTTCCCTTATCTGAAAATATTATCCTATGTGGACATGTCCCCTTATCTGGGTCTGATGCCGTTTCTAGTCAATCGTGCAACTCACAATGGACTAGTGAATCATAGTTTCCTGAAGGGCTTCTTGGTGCCTTGCGAAGGGACCGCCTCAGAGGTGGGGTTGCCCACTCATGGATCTGGAAGATGTTCGAACTAGAAGGCACAAATGACAGACTATTTGGATGTTTTTCTTCTTTAGGCATGAAGAGTCCTTTCAGGAAGCTGTGATTCATCAGTCCATTGTGAATTGCATGACTGTATTTAGGCAAATAGTTTTTTTCTGTCCAGTTCTTCCCCCAACCTGACTTGAGCCTTAGAAGGTGAAAGTGATGGGTCATCGAGTCCCTGATGCTCCAGAATATGTCAGTAGATTTGATTTCCCTTTCTCGGCTGAAAGGAAGCTGGCCAGAGTCCAAATCACAGCCCTCTGGATGGTCAGCCCCATCCTTACTGTGGGCACAGGACCTGCTCCCACTGGATTTCTCCTATGTGCGCTCTCTCTCTCTTTCTAACCCCAAGACCTAATTACTGAAAAGTCTTCCAACCACCCCATCCTGTCTTGGAACAAGAGAAGGCCGTATCATCAGTTCTCCTGGGCTATGTCAAAGCTGGGGCCTAGCTTCTCTAGGAATTCCTGGCACATGTTTCCCTCCTGGACCAGGACACGCATCAAGATTCATGGCCTTGTTCTCCCTGAGTGGTGAAGGAAGCCCATCTGCCTCCAGTGCTCCCCTCCCAGGCTCTACCGAAAGCTCAGCCACGATCAAGGATGCTTTGTGCTGCCCCAGCCCTCTGCTGAGTTCTCACCCACACCCTAGGGAAGGTGCAAAGGAAAGGAGAGCTCCAAACCTGTTAGCTCCCAGCCACCAGCTTGATCATTACAGAACTATGACTCTTAAGTGCTACACGTAAGAAGCAGTCGATGGTCACAGACGTGTGATCCCACCTAACCAGTCTATGACTACCAGTGCCCAAAACCAATAAATGCCTCAAATGTCCTAAGCAGTGTAAACCTAAGGTCATTACCATGATTCTGGAGGGATCTGTCCTCAGTTGGTCCTGCTATCTCATTGCTCATAGTTGGGCCATTTTTTCTGCACTTTTCTTACAGAAGACTTTTAGTCTCCTACAGGAACTAAAGGATCATTTTAGTTCCTAAGTGCTCATACTGATCCTAAATAATTATCCTAAAGGATCATCCCACTCTCAGGAACTTATCTAGGTCCCCTAGGTTTT